TCAAACTGCTTCCAACACAACCAATTATGTAAGTGTATTTTTGTAAGTGCTTTTATAAGTGTATTTTTGAGGGTCTGAAATGGACTAATCTAATTTACATTATTCCTGATGGGAATAAATTCATTCGGTAAGGGCACTCGAACAGCCTTCTGGACTGAAGAAAGTTCGATATTTGAGGTTCCACTGTATACACTTGGAAAATCCTAGAAGAACTAGTCCCAAAACTGCTCACGAAAATCGTTCCCTACAAAAGCTAGACTTGGCAGGTGGTGCAACATCCCCCAGTGGAAAGCAGGGTTATGAGTACACTAAGAGACAACACAATAAGTGTCAGGGACCCAAGACTTTTCAACTGCCTCCCAGTATACATATGGGAGATTACCAATAAATCTCTGGCTGTCTTCAAGAGGGAGCTGGACAGACTTCTAAAGTCAGTTCCTGACCAACTGGGCTGTGGTTTGTATGTTGGTTTGTGGGTGACCAGCAGCAACAGTCTGGTTGGTCAGGCTCTGACCCACCACGAGACCTGTTCGTGGACCTGGCCGCATGGGTTTGAGCCCCAGAACACCTCCAGGTATTTTTGAGGCACTGGAATAACTTCAGATGGTGTATTTAGGTATTCCTAGAAGGGTATACTTTAGTAGGTAGTACTAGGTTGGTAGATAGTAACTATACTGGGAGGTACTTCCCTTCTGTCATGAGTGTAAAATGAAAAATGTTCAATGTTTATCATACTAGCTGAGCTACATCTTAAAAGCTTCTAATAATAATTCTTAGCTCTTTAGTACTGTATTTCCTCCTTATTTTAGGAGGCTTAGTGTTAGGTTGCCATGGCCCTGAATCCCACAACCATTTATAAATATAATGCACATTAAATGTTTGCTATAATTTTTTTTTAACACACTGGCCGTCTCCCACTGAGGCAGGGTGACCCCCCAAAAAAAAAGCACTTTCACCATCATTCACACTATCAGTGTGAATGATGGTGATAGATATAAATGGTGCATAGATATGACAATTTAGATGTCACTCTAAATATCAGATATCCCAAATCCCTCCTCTAGAGTTCAGGCATTGTACGTTCTTCCCACCTCCAGGAGTTGAGTCAAGAGATTTTTCTCGCTGGCAGTATCCCAGCAAGGCAGCATCCCTAAGATCATGACATTTTTTTCACTTTCATTCATTCAGTAGATGTTTTGGCAGAAATGTGCATGCATCACACTTAAAATGCCATAGACCTCACTTATGCTGGCTGTACTGTGGGCTTTTCAGAAATTATGTACAGGAGGGTCCTGCTTATATAGCAAATTCATCAGATTCTGGGCTACTGCTGTACAGGAGGGCCCTGATTATACAGCAGGTTAGGTTCTCTGCTACTACTGTACAAGAGAGCCCCACTTATACAGCAGGTTAGGTTCTCTGATACTACTGTACAAGAGAGCCCCACTTATACAGCAAGTTAGGTTCTCTGCTACTACTGTACAAGAGAGCCCCACTTACACAGCAGGTTAGGTTTCGGGCTGCTGCTGTAAAGTCAGTCGTGGCCTTCTTTCATTTTCAGATGCATATAAAAGCCTGATAACTTATTTACACTATCATATATGTATTAAGTGAGCAGTAGAGCTAGGCCTAACATATTCATACACGAAACGCATATTACTTGCCTTAATATATTTTTATCCTTAGCTTATGGTGAGTAGTGAATATATTTTAGGAAATCTGAATAAATGAAGAATGGCTATAATGTAAAACTGCTGTATTAGTGAAACACTAGAGCGGGGCCTGCCTGTATGTTGTATTTTTATATTTCCATAATTAAGGTTCTTGATGGTCATGCACAGCACAGTACTGTTGACTCCTGCTAGTACACTGTTACACCAACATGACTGAAGCTTTATCATGTACACTGCTGTACACACTGTTAAAACACTGACACAGTATAGTGCTCTAGGTAAAGCCTCTTACTGTGTATTTTATTCCACTTCTGAACTATTCCATACTTTAAATGCATTTCTTATATTTTGAAAGCATTTAGAGTTTTGACTTGCATTTTGTTTGACAGATGGAGGTGAGTGGAGCAGACATCAGCTTCAGCTTACAGCACGGGCTCATCCGTGACACTACGACTGTCAACACTTCTCAACTTACGCTCAAGACACTGAAAGATCGTGCTTGTGAATTCATCAACTCTAAGGTAAATACCATTCACCTTTCCCACATAGCTATGTAATATTTAAGTTTATTTCAGTGTGGTACATTGTTTTACAGAAATTGATGACACTTGAGTGCATGTTGAAAGCCCATGGTTATGCAGAGCATTTGGGACATTTGGGAAGAGTGGCTACTAATTACCATTCTTGTGGATAGAAATGGATTCATCTGCAGGAGTTGAGTCTCGGCTCTTGGTTCCTGCTGCAATTGTGACAATAGCCGACAATTTTGTAGCCTACAGACTTCATCCATTTTCTGAAATGGCTAACTGCAGATTTTGTTCACTATTTCTGTAGGTTATAACTGAACTTTGCTGTTTTCTTCTCTTTATACTTTTTAAATCTGCCCAAAGTACAATGCATAAATGCGAGGTCTTGCGGGTAAGAAATCTCTAATATACAGGTCTCCCTCAACATTTGCGTTTTCCACTTTCGCAGGCTTCGAACATTCGTGAATTCCCAGCCACCAAATCATATTTAAAATATGTCATTACATATGTTTGGAATTGTGGAGGTGGGAGTTTGTTTGGAGATAGGACAAGATAGTCCTTCAATACGATACTAATATCAACTCTGCGGATTATTTATCTATCACAATTCATCTAATATGACAATAATAAGCAATATTAACATAGAAACACGACATATACTCTAGAATGAATAAAATACGTCATTAAGTATGTCACGAATGTTGCTGTGTTGTTGGGTGTATAAGGGCCACTGTGAGCATAAGCCTTTCATAGTGGTGGTGGAGGCGGCAGCAGAGACGGTAGGCTAGAGACGGCGGTGTTGCCAGTCGCCCTCTATAACTCCAACAACATTGGAAGAGTTAGGTTTGTGCTGCCCTTTTTCTTTTGATTAATCGCTTCACTTACTTGCTACACTGTTAATGCTACACTTTATCGCTGGCTGGCACTAAAGCCTTTATCGACTCGTGCTGCTTTAGTATCGTGTATATTGTCGAATCAGTGAAGACGGCACGTTCTCCCCTCTCTCTTCCTCCTCCATTTTGGTACTCTTCTATGAGTTCTTTCTTGAATTCTATAGTTTTTTTCACCTTCTTTACAAAAGGGCTGGCACTAGTACAATATTTTATGATGTTTTTGTGTGTTTTATGATTGTTCATGGTTCAATAGGTTAAGGAAGCAGTATTGTTAGGCTAAGTAAATGCTATTATTATATTTCCCTACAATATATTTGGGCACCAAACATTCGCGATTTTTCAACATTCACAATTTTTCACCATTCACGAGGTTCTTGATCCCCTAGCCCTCGCGAATGTGGAGGGAGACCTGTATATACAAGTCGTGGAAAATAAAATTTTTATTACGGTACCTGGAGTAGTCTCCCATCGGGGCAGCGTGATCCAAAGAAAACATTCACCACCATTCAATCATTTATCAATCATGCAGTTGTTATTATTATACTTGTCATATTCCTCTGCTCAGTTTCAAAAGCTTTTGTACCCTCACTACCCAATTTCATGTGAATAATATATACATGTATATATGGGACCTTTGACATACAGCAGGGTAATATTTTGTGAAGAGATTTAGGGAAACCAGTTAGGTGGACTTGAGTCCTTGAGGTGGGAAGTACAGTACACTGTTTAGCGGGACGTCTGAACTGTTGTACGTGTGTGCCTCTGGCAAGACAGAGGAAGTGTGAATGGGTGAAAGTTTCTTTTTTTTAGGTCACCCTGCCTCAGTGGGAGACGGCCAGTATGTTATAAAAAAAATATATATGGGTATAATGTATACAAATACAGTAGGTCCTCACTTGTATGGCAGGTTAGGTTCCGGGCCACTGCCGGAAAGCTGACATCGCTGGAAAGCAGAACACCATTTTTTCCACTTATAAATTTATAAAAATGCCAGATAACAGGTTAACACTGACATATATTAAGTTTAGCATTAGAACTAGGCATTAAAAACAAAAGTTAAATATACACAGTACAGTGGACCCACACCTTACGATGGCATCGCGTTACAATAAATCCGCCATACGATACATTTTAATGCAAAAATTTTGCCTCTCCTCACACGATTCGTCCCGGTCCGGGATGTGTCCCATGTGTGGCCTGAGCATGCCTCAGCTGCCCCGTGGGTGCCAGTGTTTACAAGCCAGCCAGTGCAGTCACATCCTATCCATGCATACAATCAGTACATTTCATATTATCACAGCATTTTTAGTGATTGTACCTGCAAAATAAGTCACCATGGGCCCCAAGAAAGCTTCTAGTGCCAACCGTGCGGTAAAAAAGGTGAAAATTACAATGGAAATGAAGAGATAATTGCTAGGTACGAAAGTGGAGTGCGTGTCTCGGAGCTGGCCAGGTTGTATACCAAACCCCAATCAACCATCGCTACTATTGTGGCCAACAAAACGGCAATCAAGGAAGCTGTTCTTGCAAAAGGTGCAACTTTGTTTTTGAAACAGAGATCGCAAGTACTCGAAGATGGAGAGACTGTTATTGGTGTTGATAAATAAAAAACAGATAGCAGGAGATAGCATCTTTCAAGCCATCATATGTGAAAAGGCTAGGAAGTTGCATGAGGATTTAATTAAAAAAATGCCTGCAACTAGTGGTGATGTGAGTGAATTTAAGGCCAGCAAAGGTTGGTTTGAGAGATTTAACCCTTTCAGGGTCACCAGGCCCTCTCCGAGACTTGTTCTCAGGGTCGCCCAAATTTCAAAAAAAAAAAAAATTATTTTTTCTTATGAAAAGATAGAAAATCTTTTATCAATCATAATGACACCAAAAGTATGAAATTTGATGGAAAACTTATGGAATTATGCTCTCGCAAAGTTAGTGGTCTTGACGATGTTTACGCATCTGCGATTTTGCCCACTTTGAGCCCTATTTTCGGCCAGTTCCAGTGTACTAGTCGACAAAAATCATAATTATTTCGCTAGAACTCCATTTTTTCTATTGAATAAGTGCAAGAAACCACCCATTTACCGATTTCAACTATCCAATACATTGGTCAGAATTTAGCAATTTTGCCAATTTCACACAAATTTCAAAAGATGCCAATTTCCAAATAGGGTCCAGAATAAACAAGAAAGACATTCCTGTCACTAAAATAACATTTCCTCTGTTCATTAGTCACGTTCCCATGCCCCTCTTACATTTCTTTTGCTTTCCACTTTGAATTTTTATTCTCACAAAAAATAGAAGATTTACTGATATGCAGACTACTGCATTAGTGTAGAAATGGTATAAATAATATCGGCGCACTTGTGAAAGAATATTAGACTCACCAGTTGACGTGTATTGGACATGTAGCATGATTTGTTTACTTTTGAACTTTGGCAAAAATCAAAGATTTCTACTAATTTGAGCTCAATTTCAAGGTACTTTTCATTGTAAAACCAATCAAAATCTTCTCAATTTCTGTAATATGTCATCCATTCCATAAAATGAGACCAGGAAAACTAGAATGCCATCATAAATACCATACGAAAATACGTACAGTGCAAAGTCGCTGTTTTAAACCAAAAACACTGTCAGTTTTTTTTCTCATTATGCACTGTGTGGTGCAGGATTTCTTTTTATATTGTGCACAGTGACCACATAGACCCATTCTTTCATATGTAGGCCTACCAGCTTTATCTCGCTAGATTTGAGGGCGCTAGAATTTATGCGTACTAGTACGTCAAAAACCCTGGGGCGCAAGCCGTACTAGTACGGCCGAAACCCTGAAAGGGTTAAGAATCGTAGTGGCATATATAGTGTGATAAGGCATGGTGAGGCTGCCTTAGGAATTAAAGGAGTACATAGACAGTGAAGGACTGAAATCTGAACAAGTGTTTGTGACGAAACAGGCCTGTTTTGGAAGAAAATGTCAAACAGTACCTACATTACTCAGGAGGAAAAGGCACTCCCAGGACATAAGCCTATGAAAAACAGGTTTACTCTCTTGATGTGTGCTAATGCTAGTGGTGATTGCAAAGTGAAGCCTTTATTGGTGTATCATTCTGAAACTCCCAGAGTGTTCAGGCACAACAATGTCGTCAAGGCTAATTTGTGTGTGCTGTGGAGGGCAAACACTAAGGCATGGGTCACTAGGGACTTTTTCTATGACTGGTTACACCATGCATTTGCCCCCAATGTGAAAAATTACCTAATGGAAAAGAAATTGGACCTTAAGTGCCTCCTGGTATTAGACAATGCTCCTGGTCATCCTTCAGATTTGGCAGAGCGACTTTCTGGGGACATGAGCTTCATTAAGGTCAAGTTTTTGCCTCCTAATACCACTCCTCTCCTGCAGCCCATGGATCAGCAGGTCATTTCAAACTTCAAAAAACTCGACACAAAAGCTATGTTTCAAAAGTGCTTTGAAGTGACCTCAGACACTCGATTGACTCTGAGTTTTGGAAAGATCATTTTAACATCCTCAATTGTGTAAACATTATAGGTAAGGCTTGGGAGGGAGTGACTAAGAGGACCTTGAACTCTGCTTGGAAGAAACTGGCCAGAATGTGTAGACAAAAGGGATTATGAAGGATTTGAGGCTAACCCTCAGAAGCATATGCCAGTTGTGGAATCAATTGTGGCATTGGGCAAGTCCTTGGGGTTGGAGGTTAGTGGGGAGTATGTGGAAGAGTTGGTAGAGGAGGACAATGAAGAACTAACCACTGATGAGCTGCAAGATTATTTTCAACAGCAAGAGGCCAGACCTGAGGAAACTGCTTCGGAGGAGGGGAGAGAGAAATTGAAGAAGTTGCCTACTTTAAAGATTAAGGAAATGTGTGCAATGTGGCTTGAAGTGCAAACCTTTATGGATGAAAATCACCCTCAGACAGCTATTGCAAGCTGTGCTGGTGACTATTACAATGACAATGTTGTGAACCACTTTAGACAAACCATATAGGAACGGGAGGTACAAGCCTCTATAGGACAGATATGTTGTGCGACAGAGGTCCAGTGACTGTCAAGCTGGTCCTAGTGACATTAAAAGAAGGGAAGTAACCCCGGAAG